CCAGACAATCTTATGTTTGCCAAAAAAAATGATTATTCATCATTGGTTTTAGTAGATTTTGGATTGGCTACACTAGAACATCTTGATAAGTATATCTTTATAAATGAAATATTAGATTTCTATTTCCTAAATGTGGAACTCCAGGATATGTTGCTCCAGAAGTTCTTAATTTAAATTCTGAGAATAAATACACTACAAAAGTAGATATTTTTAGTAGTGGTTGTATTCTTTATAAATTGTTGACTGGTAAAAGCATATTTGGAGGCAAAACATTTGATGATGTATTAAGAGCAAATAAGAAATGCTTTATTGATTTGGATCTTCCTCCTGATCACATTTATTTAACAGATCTTTCTCTAGTAATTAATATAATATATAATTGTAGAATTTATTAAGTTAATTATTAAATAAAAATGCAAAATAAAGAATAAATGCTAGATAAGCACTTCGTCATCCATTTTTTGATTAAATTAATGATTAAAGCACTTAAGCATTATCAATTTTTGTAACAAATGTGAAATTTAGTCATAATGGGAATTTAAATTTATAATGTGAAGAACAAATGTCTAAATATGATATTGAAGAGAATTAAATAAATAGTGAAATGAAGGAAGATGAATAAAATACTATTTCAATTCCTGCAACAAAAAGATGTTCATTAATGAATGAATTCTAATCATAGTCTAGGTCTCCAGTTAAATTTTATTAAAAAGAACCCTTATCTGCAATAAGATGTTTTAAATTGTTTGACTTGGCTAGTCCAAGGGGAGATTCAAATGAAATTGAAAGTGAATGAAATATCAAGTTGAATTTTCTCAATTAAAAAAAACAAAATATATATAAAAAATTTTAATGATTTTCTTAAATTATGATAATTAAATAATTTAATAAAGTATATTTGCTTTGATAAAATTAAAATCTAATAAAATTCGAGTATTTAGCAAACCTATTGTGAAAATCTATCTTATAATTATTTATTTAATATGGCAGAAATCGATTTGACTTAGCCATTTCATGCATATACACTTGAAAAAGTGGTTAGTGCAGTATAGACTAACTTATAGACGTATATAAAATAGTTAATTTAAGGGGTTTGACAACAACTGAAGCTAATGCAAGATTAGCAAAATATGGTCCAAATGAATTAGAAAAGGAAGAAAAGGAGAGTATTTGGGAAAAGATCAAGGAGTAATTTGAAGATAATTTGGTGAGAATATTGTTATTGGCTGCTGTGATCTCATTTGTAATTTCATAATTTGAAGATCATGAAGACTCACATGCAGTGCCTCCATGGGTTGAGCCATGTGTTATCTTTACAATTTTGATCTTAAATGCAGCAGTAGGCATTTGGTAGGATTTAGATGCTGAAAGAGCAATTGAAGTAAAAATAATGATTAATAATTTAGGCATTGAAAGATTTATAATCTCCTCATGCAATAGTATTAAGAGATAAAGAATGGGGTTAAATTGAAGCAAAGAATTTAGTTATTGGAGATATTGTTGAAATTAAATAAGGTGACAGAATTCCAGCTGATTTAAGAATGGTTGAATTAAAAACAATCACTTTGAAAACAGATTAAGTATCTATAATTAATTATATTAAAGTCAATTTTAACAGGAGAAGTTAATCCAGTTAATAAAATAACTGATATAGTTTAAAAAGAAAAAGCAGCAGTTTAAGATAAGATCAATTTCTTATTCTCTGGAACATTGGTTTCAAATGGAACAGCTATTGGTATAGTTTGTAATACAGGAATGAGAACAGAAATTGGAAAGATTTAATAATAAGTTTAAGATGCAGCAAAAGACAAATAGGAAGATGATGATCCATTATCAAAAAGATTAGATGAATTTGGAGATAAATTAGCTAAATATGTTACATATATTTGTATTATTTGTTGGGTTATGAACATTGGAAATTTCTCTGATCCAGCTTATGGAGGAACTATTATGGGAGCATTATATTATTTTAAAGTTGCTGTTGCATTAGCAGTTGCTGCTATTCCAGAAGGATTACCAGCTGTTATTACTACTTGTTTAGCTTTGGGAGCTAGAAGAATGGCCAAATAAAAAGCTATTGTTCGTAAATTACCAAAAGTATAAACTTTGGGATGTACTACAATCATTTGTTCTGATAAAACTGGTACTTTGACTACAAATGAAATGTGTGTTAAGGAATTAGTTCTTTTGACAGGTCAAGATGCATCATCAATGCATGTTTTCCCTATTGAAGGCACATCTTATCATCCTGAAGGAAAGATTGATGGATTGGAATCTAAATTAGTTTAAGGAAACAATTTATCTGCAAATTTAAAGAGATTATGTTAATCTATGGCATTATGCAATGAATCTAAATTATTTACAGATAAAGGAAGAGTTTAAAGAAGTGGTTTACCTACTGAAGCTGCATTAAAAGTTTTAGTTGAAAAAATTGGAAAATATGATAAATCTTTTAATAGTAAACCAACTTTAGAGGCTCCTGAATAATATAATGAAAGAATTATTGGTGAATTTAATAAAAGAGCCACCTTAGAATTTACAAGAGACAGAAAAAGTATGTCTGTTTTAGCAAGTTCCAAAAATGAAAAAGGAAATGTTTTATTCATTAAAGGAGCTCCTGATTATTTATTAGAAAAATCTAATATGATTCTAAATTAAAATGGAGATGTAGTTCCATTGAAGGCTTAAGATAAAAATTAATTATTATAAATTGTTAAGAATTTAGCAGAAAAAGGATTAAGAACATTAGCAATCTGTGTTTAAGAAGAATGTGGTTAATTGAGTGATTATGATGGACCTAAACATCCAGCACATAATTTATTAGTTGATACAAATAACTATAAAGATTTAGAAAGTAAACCAATTATTATTGGTGTTGTTGCATTATAAGATCCACCAAGACCAGAAGTTAAAAGATCCATTGAAAAATGTAGAGAAGCTGGTATCTCAGTCATCATGATTACTGGTGATATCAAAGAAACAGCTTAATCAATTGCTATGTAAATTGGTATATTACATGATCAATCTTAATTCCCAACTCATTCATTTACAGGATTAGAATTTTCAACAATGGGAGAAGAAAAATAAAAGAAAGTACTTTAATAAGTAATTGGAAGACCAAGTGGTTTAGTTTTCTCTAGAACTGATCCAACACACAAAAGAGAATTAGTTAAAATATTAACTGGTTAATTGAATCAAATAGCAGCTATGACAGGAGATGGTGTTAATGATGCTCCTGCATTAAAATAAGCTAGTATTGGTATTGCTATGGGTATTTCTGGTACTGAAGTAGCAAAAGAAGCATCAGATATGATTTTAGCAGATGATAACTTTGCAACTATTGTAAGAGCTGTTGAAGAAGGAAGAGCAATCTATTAAAATATGAAAGGATTTATTAGATATATGATTTCATCTAATATTGGTGAAGTTGTCTCAATTTTCACATCATCAGCATTAGGTATTCCTGATGGATTCAATTCAATCTAATTATTATGGGTCAATTTAGTAACTGATGGTCTTCCTGCTACAGCCTTATCATTTAATCCACCTGATCCTGATGTTATGTAAAAACCACCAAGAAAACATGATGAACCAATTATCACTGAATATGTATTCATTAGATATTGTGTTATTGGAACCTATGTAGGTTTAGCCACAGTTTTCGTTTTTGTATATTATTATTTGGGATATGAATGGGCTGGTGATGGACATCCAATTGTTACATTCCATTAATTGAGAAATTGGGCTGAATGTCATCATTGGGAAGGCTTCAAAATTGCCAACTTTGATAAATACGATTTCTCTAAAGATCCATGTTTGTATTTCTCTTGGGGTAAACAAAAGGCATCAACTTTAAGTCTTTCTGTCCTTGTTGTAATTGAAATGTTTAATGCCTTGAATGCCTTATCTGAAGTATATTTATTTTATTATATTTTTTATAGGATGGATCATTATTAAAAGTTGGAGTTTTTGCAAATCCTTATTTAATTATAGCTATTTGTGGATCAATGACTCTCCATTGTATGATTTGCTATGTTCCATTATTTGAAAACATCTTTAACACTGTACCCTTATCCATTTAAGATTGGTAATTTAATATAATTTAATATTAGGATTTTAATTATAGCTGTATCTGCACCTGTTGTTTTAGTTGATGAGGTTCTTAAATTCTTTTCAAGAATCAGAAATGCCAGATTGTTAGAAGAGAGAAAGAAAATATAATGAAAAATTATACATAAATAATAATAATTTACAATTTAAGAATGTCTTTTTAATAAAACTAAATTTATAAATTAAAGAAATAATTGATAAAGGTCATACAACATCAAAAAAGTTTATTCATTTGTTATGAGTTGGAAGGATAGGTTGATGTGATAAATTATAAGATCCATAAATACCTATACTAATGATTAACTATTGAAATTATATATATTTAATATACATTACTTATATTAAGATTCTATTTCATATTGATTTATATAGATTTAAGACTTGTACTTAAATAATAGATTTTGAAGTAATTATTATGAGTTGTAGTCTTACTTTATTTATTTGTTTGATATAAAAATATAAGTTATTGAAAAAGATAACTAAAAATTATCATTAATCATTAATTATGACAAAATAAATAGATAAATATGATATGATCTATTAATTATACTTAGATGTAAGATGTACAATAAAAATTCTATTTCTAGATTATGAAGCTAAAGAATATTTCATTAAATATACATCTACTGATTCTAACAATCTTTAAATTATTATTAAAAATTATGGATAATCTTGTTGTTGCATGATGAACTTTCGTATATATGGTAAATCATATGATAAAATGATATATTAATTAAATTCATATATATATTATATAAATGAATGATATAATTAATAAGAAATATTAAGTTCTTAAATTTCTACTATAAAAAGTATATAATTTTTTATCATTCTATTGAAAGAATTCTTAATAATTAAAATACTAATTTTTTCATTAATAAAAATATTTTATGATTATACTATTCTATTTTTTCTTGTTAACTGTTCAATAAAGGGATGTTGAATTCGATAAAAATTATTTTTGGACCTCAATTGACAAGGTTTAAGACTAGAATATATATCGAATCAAAAATTTAAAGCAGCCTTATTATTATGTTTAGGTTACTTTGTTTCAAAATGATTTGTCTTTTATCCTTATGTATGATTTAAATTAGATTGCATAACTAAATTCATCGAAAGGTGACTACGTAAGGTATTATTTTTATTAATGAATACGTTATTATGAAGGTAGAAGAACCAGATTTCTGAAAATAGAACCTAATGGAAATATAATTTACATTAGTGCATAATCCAATATTACTAGTGGATATTATAATATAACCATTTGGGGTAGCAAAGAGGAGTACTGTGATAATAGTTGTTCATATAATGGAAAATGCACNGCTGTATCTGCACCTGTTGTTTTAGTTGATGAGGTTCTTAAATTCTTTTCAAGAATCAGAAATGCCAGATTGTTAGAAGAGAGAAAGAAAATATAATGAAAAATTATACATAAATAATAATAATTTACAATTTAAGAATGTCTTTTTAATAAAACTAAATTTATAAATTAAAGAAATAATTGATAAAGGTCATACAACATCAAAAAAGTTTATTCATTTGTTATGAGTTGGAAGGATAGGTTGATGTGATAAATTATAAGATCCATAAATACCTATACTAATGATTAACTATTGAAATTATATATATTTAATATACATTACTTATATTAAGATTCTATTTCATATTGATTTATATAGATTTAAGACTTGTACTTAAATAATAGATTTTGAAGTAATTATTATGAGTTGTAGTCTTACTTTATTTATTTGTTTGATATAAAAATATAAGTTATTGAAAAAGATAACTAAAAATTATCATTAATCATTAATTATGACAAAATAAATAGATAAATATGATATGATCTATTAATTATACTTAGATGTAAGATGTACAATAAAAATTCTATTTCTAGATTATGAAGCTAAAGAATATTTCATTAAATATACATCTACTGATTCTAACAATCTTTAAATTATTATTAAAAATTATGGATAATCTTGTTGTTGCATGATGAACTTTCGTATATATGGTAAATCATATGATAAAATGATATATTAATTAAATTCATATATATATTATATAAATGAATGATATAATTAATAAGAAATATTAAGTTCTTAAATTTCTACTATAAAAAGTATATAATTTTTTATCATTCTATTGAAAGAATTCTTAATAATTAAAATACTAATTTTTTCATTAATAAAAATATTTTATGATTATACTATTCTATTTTTTCTTGTTAACTGTTCAATAAAGGGATGTTGAATTCGATAAAAATTATTTTTGGACCTCAATTGACAAGGTTTAAGACTAGAATATATATCGAATCAAAAATTTAAAGCAGCCTTATTATTATGTTTAGGTTACTTTGTTTCAAAATGATTTGTCTTTTATCCTTATGTATGATTTAAATTAGATTGCATAACTAAATTCATCGAAAGGTGACTACGTAAGGTATTATTTTTATTAATGAATACGTTATTATGAAGGTAGAAGAACCAGATTTCTGAAAATAGAACCTAATGGAAATATAATTTACATTAGTGCATAATCCAATATTACTAGTGGATATTATAATATAACCATTTGGGGTAGCAAAGAGGAGTACTGTGATAATAGTTGTTCATATAATGGAAAATGCACAGTATATGTGAGTACTATAAAAGGATGATGGATGTGAATGCAAATCTGGTTTAATAGGTACTGATTGTCATTAAATGGCTTTGGAAATTTAGGATGAATAAACATAACTTAATCTATTTGGAGATGAGATTTAATTTTTTTATTTGAATATAGATGATTACAAAGAAATGGATATTCAATTAAGATTTAGCGTAAAAAATAAGTTGAAAATTAGACTGACAGTCATTAAGGAATTGAAATTATTATTCAATTAACTGAAGCAATAATCTTACCAAGTTAAACCCAATTAGATAATGAAAGTAATTTTTTCAAAATATTCAAAATATATGATTCTTAGCCATTAGATTTAATAGTAACAGGCTCTATTACTTAATATGATAATATTTAAATAGTTTTAGCAGCAAGATAAATAAATGGTCTTTTAAATACATTTGTAAGTTCTCTAATAATAAATCTTTCAACATACAATAAATATGAAAATACAGTTTCTATTATTGTCATAATTATAATAGTAATTTCTATATCAGCAGCAGTGATTTTTATTATTGTTATGTTTTTTGTATGTAAAAATATTAGAAAGAGAAAATAACTAAGATAATAAGAAAGATAAGCTAGATTAAGAGATTAATCTGATAATCCTCATTAAGATTAATTAAATCTTTTCGATTTTCTAACTCCTGTTTTAATTAATTAAATAAATAATTAAGATAATTGTATTATTTGTTTATGCAATTTAAATGATAATTAAGAGGTTAGACAAACATGTTGCCAGTATTAAAATAATTTATAAATATAGTCATAATTTCCATTCAGAATGCATAAAAGAATGGCTTTCAAAAAATAAAAAAGAATGTCCTGTATGCAGAACTAATATAGCTCCTAAAGATGTTCCAACTAATCCAATTGTTAATTAATGACTTAGATCTTATTTTTAAATTAAAATTAATTAATGTTTCAATAATGAAAAATAATTAATGAAAAAAAAAAATTTAACATCTATTGATTTAAGTACATCTATCTTTTCAGGTAAGAGTTAGAAAAATAATTATTCAATCTCAAATCCTTAATCAAATCGAAGTCCAAGTTTATAGAAGGCAATAAATAGATTAAAATAGGATAGTAGAGCATCCTTAATTGGGATTAGTACAATTAGCTAAACATAAGTATCAATTTTACTGATATTAAGATTCCCAAAAGAAGAGGATATTATGAAGTGAAAAATAGCCAAAATACTTATAGAATTAGTCATCCATACTAAGAGCCAAAAATAAGTCTTGATTAAAATGATCATAAAAAAGAAACCATTAGAAAAATATTTTCTTTATAAGCATATTGTAAAAGTCAATCAGCTTTATAATTGGCAGCTTAAAAATATACTGTAAAAAGAGCTACAACTGATAATTCTTAAATTTTTAATTCTCCAAGGCCAAAGTTACTAGATAAATTTAGTAAAGAAATAATTAAATGTAAAACTGAAAAAGATGTAATAAAATAAGTTCTAGTTAAAGAAGTAACAAAAAGAATACCAAAAAAATCTAAAGAAATTAATTATGAACTTGATACCATGTTTTAAAATTATGAAAAGTATGCCCAATTATGTTTATCTCCAAATTCATTTATTAATCAACCAATCATATATAATGGTTATTTTAAAATATATACTTAATCATAAAAGGAGTAGATTATTTTAGATTAAATTGGAGAAAAAGAAAAATCTTTAAGTGATGAATCAGAAGCATATAAGGATTTTATCGAAGAAGTTGATGAAGCTACAATTTAAAGAGATGTTTATCATAGTAATTTGAGAAATCCCTTTTTGGATGATAAAATTACTGTTCGTTCAATGAAATAAGCTGGTTTTTTAAAGAGAAGACCAACAGATATTCTATGATAATTTATATCTAATATCTTTCTTATACGGTGATATAACAAACTTATTTGAATGCCTGCTTTACTTATAAATACTATCTAAAAAAAATAAATAAAAAAACTCTTCTCATCTATGAGTATTTATTTGAAAAGAACCCTATATATTATTAACTCCTTCTCTTATAAATCTTGGAGTATAATTAAGGGATTCATATCATAATAACTTTTTTTATACAACTGATTTATATATAGGTAATTTTGTCTAATTCTCAAATTTATGATTTTCAATATTTTTATAAAAATTCATTAACAATAATCTCCTCATTTATATTGTTTATTATTGTATTAAAAGCAATTTTGGTTTTCTTTTCTTAATAAAATTAGGGTTAATCACTTGACCATTCTTTTTTAATTTAAAAATTTGTGATTATTTTCATGCAATAATCTATTGGCTTCTCATCTTCTTAGTTAATAATTATTTAAAATAAAATAATTTATTTCGAATTACTCAAAATCATATTTATAAAATTTATGATTTGAGCTTCAAAATTCATATTGTAATAATATAATTATAAATATAATCAGTGCTATTATAAATATTTTGAGCTCCTGGCTTTTCTTACTGATGTTCTTTTCTTTATTGAATGGTTAAAGAGTTAATAAATACTTTTAGAAGTTTTATTTAAAATTTTTGTTTTTTTATTGTAATCAGAAATCAATACATGAAGATTAAATTATGGAAAAAATTTTTTGAATTCCATAGCTTTTTCAAATCCTACAATTTAATAATAACAAGAAATAGAATTTTAACCTACTTATGTTCTATTTTCAGCAGGAGCACCAAATAACTTTATTTCAGTTTCGCTTGTTTACCTTAATTATTAAGATGTTTAAAATTATTTGCTTTTATTAAATCCATCAGATTTTTAAAATTAAATTCTTTTATTAGAATCATGAGGAATTTTGATATCTGCTTTAAGAGAAGGTTCACTTTATTTTGGATAACTCTCTTTTCTTTTAGAAACAGGAGAATCTTTATTAGTATTTAATTCTAGTTCCTAAGGATTTAAAGATACATTTTCATCTTCATCAAATAATATATCATCCTATCCTTAACTCTATTCTAATGCTTTTTACACTAATTTTAATTGCTTATTAATATTTATGAATAATATACATGTTATATTTGAAGTGCTTTACAAGACCTTTTAACACATCTCTTCTATTTTTATCTATTCTATATTTTTAAATTATCTTTTAAAATTAATTTTTCAATATCAGGTTTATAATTTAGTAGTTTACAATTATCTATTTAATGATCAGATTAAGAACATATTTAACATTTTTATCCAATAATATAAGAATTAAATAAAAATAAATGTCTAATTTAATGATATACTTCATTCTCTTCTTTATTAAGTTAATTTAAAAAAGTAGTTTATGAGATTCTAAATACTTTTGTAAAACTTCGACTAATAACTGAAAATTTATGAGGTTATTAAGTAAAAAATGATTCTTCTCCAAAATATTTACCTTTTTAAAGTTCTGCCATTTTTTATTAAGATTTCTATTCATAAATTTCAACTTTTCCATAATCCAAAAAATATAAATAATTATCATCTAATTAATTTTAATGATATATATATTCATCAGGACAATAATATGCAGTTTAGAGAGAGTTTGACATTTTCTTAATTGTTTCTTCACTAAAATTATGTGATATAATTTTGCAATCCTAAAGTAGATTTTTAAAAACATTAAGCATTATTTCTTACTATAAAAATGAAGATAATTATTCAAGTATACTTTACAACTAAGATTAAGTCTAAAGTTTATTACATGATATTTTGATTATTAATTTCTTTTGATACATCGATATTCTAAATAACTTCTTGCTCTACTTTATAACTGATCTGGAACTGAATGTTATTACATATAACAAGTCAAAATTCTTAGCATTTCTCTAAATTGATTTCAAATATTTATTACTAAAATTGCCTTTTTTGTTTGTTAATATTTTAAACTATAGTTCCTACTTAATTTAGTGAGAATGTAAAAACTGCACATGATAAAAGCATAAGAAATATACAACTAAATGCCTCCTCATGATTCTATGGTGTAATATCTCCATATCCAACAGTTATCATTGTAACAATAGCCCAATAATATGAGAAAATATATCTAATTTATTTTGTATCATCTTATAAATTTTTATGAAGAATCCAACTATTTTTCTCATATTCCATTGTTGTAATTCCTATATAATGCCAAATACATGCCATAAAATGAGCAATAAGATTAATTGTTATTATTAGATTAATTAGACTGATAATTTCTCTTTGTATTTCTGATAAATTTAATAATTTAACTATTTTACCAATTACTCTTTAAAGTTTAATTAAACTAAAAGCACAAAAAGATATAACTATTAATATGCTTTCTATTTTCATACTATAGTATACTAAAAACAAGTAAAGAACATCTAAAATAAAGGAAGTTTTCAAATACTTTTTCAATATATACTTTCTGGTTTTGATGATCTTGGAATTATAATGAATTTATTACATTTCCTTTTTTTATGATGGCTATGTTTAATTTAAGTATTATGTCAATAAGAAAAAATATAATAAACAATGACATTTCTTCAATTCTTAAAATAGGGTATGATTGATCAAAGCTCCAAAAAAATGGTATTAATATAATTAAGCTTAAAATCACAAAAAACATAATTATATCCCATAAAATGATGAATCTATTAGTTGGATCGATAACAAATGAAATGGTATTCTTTTAAATATTTTTTTTGTCTAAAATATATTTTTCCTAAAACATTAGATTACTCTTAATTTTTTCTTTTTAACTCTAAGTTAGAATATAACTACGACAAAGCAAAATATTTTTAAATCTTTTTACTAGATTATTTATTTTAATGAGTTGAAAGATATTTCTTGTTGCTTTTTGTTAACATGGTTATGATTTAGGAAGTTCTATTTAATCATCACAAATTGGATTTTCATAAGTTATTTTATCATTGCCTACATTTTTAATCTGTTCTTGTTTCTAAAGTACAGGTAATTTTCGAAATGGTTTAAAATTATCCTAATATTGTTCTATATTATTAAACTAATCATACAGTGCTCCAATGTTAAATTTTGTAATGAAGGATCATTATTTTGAGGAGATAGCTATTAAAATAATTTCAGATCAACTTAGCTTCTTGGACTTAAAGAACATACACTCATAATTAAATAAAAAATCGATTATTACTCTTATAATTAATTATTTATTTCTGAATAACTTATAAATTAAGATTAATTTATCTATCAATTGTAAATTATCATCAGAATAGATATTTTATATTAAAATTAAAAGCCTTTATTGTGAAACCACTTTTATAATTTATTGGTATTCATTTTAATTATTATAATTGAATATAGAATTTAATAAAAGAGTTTTAATATTAAAAATATATTTTGTTACAACTTATCAAAATTTATACTATTTTATAAATAATATCAAATAAATAAAATATTTAAATTATTTATCGTAATTTAATTATTCATTTCATTATTCAGTGTTTTTTTTTCTCTATTTTAATGCTAGTTTTTCATATACTATCCATAATACTCCACTTTATATGCATTTTTTAATTAATCTAGGTAAATAACCTTAATAAAACCCTTTGAGACCTTCAGTTTATTAAATTGTTTTTGCCAATGTTAACAAATTACTCTATTATAAATTAAGATATTACACTTTTGTTTTATGCTTACTATCTTATTCTTAAATTATCAAATGGATATGTAACCAAAATGGCTAGAACTGCTGCACTTGATCCACAAATTGCTACTACAATTGAGTTTGTTTTTGGATCTTAACCTTTTGTGAATATACCACTAAAATTTAATAAATTTCTATAAATTGTATATTAAATTCCAGAGAAAGGTACATCCTTTAAAATTGCAGCAATAACACCCTTCAATAAAAATAAATTCATACTCTATAAAACCCAAAAAAACCTTCTTCTCTTGCAATCTTGATGAAACAT